CATCTCTTTCAGTGGCTAAAGGTCAGGAGCCTGGTGGCTCTATAGCGTAAGATCTGAACTGCTGGGAAGTCCTATACAGGGTTATTGAGTTGGAACCGACTTGTCACCACTTAACAACAATAATGACTTAAGGAGAGTCTGGTGTGGCATTGTAGGATAAGTACTGGACTGCTAACCTCCAGGTCAGCAGTTCAAACCCACAAGCTGCTTCTTGGAAACCCTGTACAGGTTTGCTGTGAGTCAGAACCAGCTTGACAGTACTTATCAACAACAGTAACAGTGGCTATGGAAGGAGCCCTGGTGGTGCTGGGGGTTAGGCTGCTAATTGCAGCCCACAACTGCTTTGACTGCAATGATCAAATGGTTCCTTTTCTTTGTTTTCCACATGTGGCAGATTACATGAATTGATTTTATATGTTGAACCATCCTTGCATAACTGAGGTGAATGCACTTGGTCATGATGTATTACTATTTTTGATATGTTGGTGAATTCAATAACTTAAATTTTGTTGAGAATTTTTACATCTGTGTTCATGAAGGATATTGGTCTGTGTTTTTCTTTTTTAGTGACGTCTTTGCTTGGTTTTACTGTCAGGATTTTTGCTGGCTTTGTAGATTAACTTTGGGCATGTTTCTTTTTCTATATACTGGACTATGTTGAATGATATTGGTGTCAGCTCTTATCTGAATGCTTCATAGCATTCTCCAGGGCAGTCATGTAGGACAGGCCTTTTTTGTTGTTTGTTGTTGTTAAGTACCATGACGTTGGTTCCAACTCATAGTGACGCTGCACAGGGTTTCCGAGGCTGCAAATCTTTATGGGAGCAGAAAGCTTCGTAGTTTTATTTTGTTTTATGATTTCTTTAATTTTTTTCTTTTGTTATGGATCTGTTCAGATTTCCTACTCTATTTTGTGTTAGTTTAGGTAGGTAATATGTTTCTAGAAATTTGCCCATTTCTTCTAGGTTTTCCAAGTTGTAGGAGTAATTTTTCATAGTATTTTGTTATTTTTTTAACAGTTCATTCTGTTGCAGTATCACCCATTTCAATTCTCATTTGGGTTATTTGTATCTTCTCTTCCTTTTCTTTTGTCAGTTTGGCAGGTGGTTTGTTGATTTTATTGATTCTTTATTGAACAAATATCTGAACTTGTTGATTCTTTTGTTTATGTTTCATCTATTTCTGCTTTAATTTTTATTATTCCCATTTTTTGGGCAGCCATGGACTTCTTCACTGCTCATTTTCTATTTGTTTGAGTTTTAAGGTTAAATTATAGATTTTAGTTCTTTCCTCTTTTTTAAAAAATGTGTGTGTTTATTGCTATAAATGGACCTCTGATCACTGCTTTTGCTGTGTCCCAAAGGTTTGAATATGTGTGCTTTTAATCTCATTTGAATCTAAGAATTTTTAAAATTACATTTTACATTTCTTTTATTATCCAGTGTTTTTTAAGCAAGATGTTTTTCAGTTTCAGTGTATTTGATTTTTTCCCCTTTTTCTTCCATTATTGATTTCTAGTTTTCTAGTGGTCTAATCAGAGAAGATGCTTTGTACTATTTCAGTGTTTTTAACTTATGGAGACTTGCTTTAAGGACTAAAATGTGGTCTATTGTAGAGAATGATGCAGTTACATTGAAGAAGAATATGTACTGTGCTGCTGTTGAGTAGAATGTTGCACATATGTCTGTGAAGTCTTTGCATCTTTGCTGAGTATCGTTCTAGTTGTCCTGCCTGTCATTAAAAGTGGTGTATCAAAGTCTCCTACTATTTTTGTGGAACTGTCTATTCCTCTTTTCAGTGTTATTAGAATTTGTCATTTGCAGAGCTCTGTCATTGGGTGTATAAATATTTATTATGTTTATGTCCTCTTGATGAATTTGCCTTTTAAGCATTATACAATGTCCTTCCTTCTCTTTTGTGGTGGATTTTGCTGTAAAACACGTTTTATCAGACATTAATATTGCCACTTATTTTCTTTTTTGGTTAGTTTGCATGATACAGGTTTTACACCCTTTGTTTCTTAGTTTGTTTATATCTTTGTGTCTAAGGTGTGTCTATTGTAGACAGACAACATATTGATAGACTATGTATTTTGTTTTGTTTTTAATCATCCATTCTGTCACTGTTTTTTCACTGGTCTCTTAACCCATTTATATTCAGTATGATTACTGATATGTGTGAATTAACTGTTCTTTGTTATGCTTTGTGTGTGTTTGTAGCAATCATGGTTTCTTTGTTCTTTCTGCTTTTCTGTGATGTGTTCTTTTTGTTTACAGATTTTCATTTCATTTCCTTTGATGATATTGATTTTGTGTTTACTGAATCTTTATGATTTTCTTCCTTTTTATTTTGGTGAGATTTATTTATTTTCTTTGTGGTTACCCTGGAATTTACTTTTACTTCCTAAGTTTAAAACAGTCTGTTATATCTTGATACCACCTTGATTTCCTCTCCATATGGTCATTTGTAACTATGCCACTTTCCCCCTCTTTTTGTTTTGAAGCTGTCAGCTTTTATAGACTAACGTGTCTGGTTCCCTGCTTTCACTGTAGCTTTATTTTATTTTGGAGGATTTTTTATCTGGGTTGACGTCCGGCTGATACGGTCATATTTCTTAATCTCAGTTTATTGTTGCATGTAGTTGGTTCTCTGTCCAAAGGACTCCCTTTAATATTTCTTGCAAGGTTGATCTGGTTTTTCTTTTTAAAATTTCCTTTATTTCTTTTTATTTGGTAATGTCCTTATTTTGCCATCATGTGTGAGAGAAAATTTTGCTAGTTATACAGTTCTTGGTTAGCAATTCTTTTCTTTCAGGTTTTTATGCATGCTGTCGCTTTACCGTCTTGCTTTCTGCTAAGAAATCAGAGCTTAATTTTATCGGTTCTCCTTTGTAGTTCATGTTTCCCAAGCTGCTGTTAGAAATCTTTTTTTTTTTTTTTTTAATCTTTGGTTTTGGGAAGTTTGATTATGATAAGTCTTGGTGACTTTCTTTTAGACTCTATCTTGTATGAGGTTTCATTTGCTTCTTGGATGGGTATCTTCTCATCTTTCATGGAAGTTTTCTGCCAACAAGTCTTAAATTTTTTTCTCTGTGCTATTTATCTTCTCCTCCTGTTTTGAAATTCTGATTATGCATAAATTATTTCTCTTGCCGGTGTCCCACATAACTCTAAAGCTTGCTTTGTTTATTTTTCTTCATTTTTTTTTTTTGGATTGTTTTTCTAAATATGTGTTATTTCTCCTCTATCTTGCTGGTTCTGTTTTCCAGTGACTTGATTCTTCTTCTCTGTCTTTTTATTAAGCTATTTCTGCATTTTGGGAGCTAATCATCTGGATATTGGGTTACTGTTTTTGTATGATTTCTAATTGTCTATTTTGTTTTCGTATATATATTTTAAATGCTTTTGCATTTTGTATGTGTTTTTCTTGGTTTTGTCTGTATTTACCATGATTACTTGGAAGTCCCTGTGTGTAATTGTTTTAAGTTCTTTATCAAGTAATTTCATTACTTTTTTTTTTTTTTTAAAGAGGTTTTCTGATTCTTTATTTTGGTAAATTGCTAGAGCCATCTTGTCCTGCTCCTTTAGGTGATTTGGTATTTTATGCTGTCTCAGAGGCATTATTAATACATTGTTTTTTGCATCCGATTTTTAAATTTTGTTTTGTTTTGATGTATCTGGGCCGGTGGGACAGGTATACTACTCTGATCACGAGTCTAGAGTGCTTATGTGTGTGAGCTGGGGTCTCTGTTCACTGGTCTTGCAGCAGGACTGCGGATGGGCTGGGTGGGGCTTGGCCACCTTCTATTGTCGGTCCAGAGGTGCAGAAGCAGGCAGTGGCACTCATCCTGTGGGCAGGGTGGCAGGTATAGTGATTTGGCTGTGGTAGGGTGCATAGTCACTGCCTCCTGCTAGATGGTGTATGCAAGTGGCAGGCTGGCTTGGGTACAGTCACATGCTTCCTATCTGTCGCTGAGTAGAGGGAAAAGAACAGGAGCAGCTGGCAGATTTGCGTGGGGTTGTGCTGCCACAGCCTCTTGCCAAGAAAGGTAGAGGGTAAACAGTTGTAGGCCACCACATCTGCAGTTGTACTGACATCACCTCCCTCTCTCAGCAGGCCACTCACCAAGCCCAGAAGGCCGTTGGTGGCATGTGAGCATGTGCATGGGACCACATGTATCACTTGCTGGGTGCATAGGAGGGAGTGGTGGACAGGGCTGATCTAAAGGGAGGGAGGGGATGACTTGTTATGTGTTCTCCAGTTGGGCAGTTGGTCTGGGTGCGAGATCCTCTGCTGATTCCAATCAGGATGGTGTTGGGGGGTGGGGTGGGGTTGGGAGGGAGAGTGGGAGTGCATCCCACCAATTAGCAGATATGGGTGTTGTCTGCTATAGACAGAAGTTGGGACTTGCCCTGACCTAATGTGTGGATTGGGGTTACCCCTGGGGTCTGGTTGGGTGAAAGACCTTTCACCTCCTTGTGCATACCACTTACCCAGAGGCTGTGGACTGCCACTTGTAAGTTTATCCAGCTCTAAATTCTGGAACCCTTGCTGCTCCATGGATGGCAGGATCCCAGTAATTCTTGCTCTCCTTTTGTGTATTTTCCATTCTTAGATGTAAATCATGATCTGCTCACCCTACTTCTTTTCTGGTGTGATTATACAGTTTCTCTCTCTCTTATGGGAATGCCATGAAATTGCCTCCCATGTTCTTCACCCAGGTCATGACTGGCTTTGTCTTCTTAAGATGGTCACGTTGAGTCAGGATGGCTGACGGAACCTCACCATTCCATGTTACTCCTTGTTCTCTGCTTTTTTCAGGTTTTCCTTCCTGTCAGTGTTCAATTTGATTCTTTACTCTTTTTTATTGTCTAGGGTTCCAGTATTGTTATTTGCATCAGCTTCACTTGTTCTTTTGGGTCTTTGCTATAGACTAATGGATGCAGGGCTTGATAATTCTTTCCATAAATCTTTGAACTTTATTTGCATCTGTGTTTTAGGAAGAACTTGAAACAGCGAAGAAGTTTCTATATTATGAAATGGGCTATAAATCTCGATCAGAACAACTAACAGATCGCTCTGAAATTAGCCTATTGCCTTCAGACATTGACAGGTATTTGTAATATGTTTCCATGGCTTCTTTTTTTTCCTTCTCCCATGTAAGTATATTTTCTTATTAGTTAATATTGTGTTCCAGGTACAAGAAGCGGTTTCATAAATTTGATGCAGACCAAAAAGGCTTTATTACCACCGTTGATGTTCAGCGTGTATTAGAGGTAATGTGTATATATATGTTTTTTGGTTCATTATAAGGAGCTCTGGTAGCGTAGTGGTTACGAATTGGGCTGCGAACCTTAAGGTCAGCAGTTCGAAACTACCAGCCACTCCGTGGGAGAAAGATGAGGCTTTCTACTCCCGTAAAGATTTACACCCTCGGAAACCCTTACAGGGTCGCTATGGGTCGGAACCGACTCGATGGCACTTAACAACAACAACAATAATTGTTAAATAGCAGATAGTGTAATTATTGGTGTTGTTATTGTGCCCTGTCAAGTTGGTTCTGACTCACAGTGACCCTGTGTAGGCTTTTCAAGAGCGGCCGGTGGGTTTGAATTGCCAACATTGCAGTTAGCACAGTCTACTGCTTATCCTACAGTGCCATACCAGGGCGCAGAATAGTGTAAAGATATATAATTTTTTCTCATCTAATACTTTCTACAAGTAATAGCTTAAAATGTAAAAGTTTAATAAGATGAATAAAAGAATTATGTAATTTTTAATTAGACCGCAGCATTATTCTTTCCTTTTTCTTTAGAGTATCAACATTCAAATGGATGAAAATACGCTACATGAAATTCTGAATGAAGTAGATTTGAACAAAAATGGACAGGTTGAACTCAATGAATTCTTGCAGGTGAGTTGTGATAAAAAGAAACAAGCATGTAACCTTTTGTCTTTTGGTTGTCATTATAATAAATGGATGTTCAAGTGTGTCACTTCTTTCTGAAAATAAGGAGAAAGCTTTCAGCCAACAAAAGCTGATATGTCTGAACTCAAGGTTTAGACTTGGTACATTTTCTTTTTCTTTCTTTTTATAAGAAATATTCTCTTGGGTTAGACTCTTTAGATTAAATCCAAGTTAATTATGGATTCAAAGGCAGAATAATATGCACACTTTCAAAAGGCATATGCTGTTGGATGTCATTGTTGGGCTGTTTTCTACCCAACTTCAAAAGAGGCAACACAGTATTCCTAAAGAAGAATGTAATTATTTTGTGGAGAAACTTTTAAAAAAACTTGTATTTGTATTAATTTGACAATAATATTCATTTGAGAATGTAGTGATTAGATGCTTACATTGTAACGAATGTGAGGAGCAAATGGAAGTATTTTGGGGTTTTTGTTATTAATCCCATCCTGTTGGTTCCTGTATAGAGTTTCTGAGGAGCAACTTGTGGATTTGAACCACCTACCTTGCAGTTAGTAGTGCAGTGCTTATCCTACAGGGCCACATCCTAAAGTGCCACATCAGGACTGTATTCTGGGGTTGTTGTTACATTGCTGAGTGCCGTCGAGTCAGTTCTGATCCATCACGACCCTTTATAGGATTTTGGAGGAGCAGCTGGTAAATTTGAACTAACAGCCTTGCTGTGAGCAGTCCATTGCTTATCTTATACACCCACCAGAACTCCATTCTGGGGTTAAGACTGTAACATTTTCATTTCCAATTTTCAACTATTGAAGGAAATTTCATGTTACTCTAATTTCAATCAGTTGTTTGATAGTATTCTTTAAAAAAAATTCCTTAAGAGGAATAAAACAAACTCTACATTATTTGTAGTTGTCCACATGACTCTGATCGTAGGAAGAAAGAACTAGTTACCGAGTAACCAGGTGTTTTTTTTTCTGTAGTACTTCTTGGGCAGGTATTTCAAATGAATGCCAGGTCTTGCTTGCACCATGGCAATGATGAATGCTGAACATGAAATAAATTAATGTTGGGGATTTTGGTCAATGTCAGCCCTTTCTTCACTGTGTCAAGTTAAACAAACAAGATCAAGGCAAAGGAAATGGTAATTGTGTCTCTGGAGATGAGCTGCAGATAAGAGCGTTGTTGAATCTAAATGCAGAAATATTACACAGGTTGTGTCCAGCATTAGAAAAAGAATGTTTGGGTCTTAGCTGACTGTTTAACTAAATGCACATTTTAAATTAAGTTTTAAATTTATGCTCGGTAATTAGATACCATGTAGTACATCTTTTGTGCAGTTTTCTGGAGAATATTTGTCTTGGGAATTTAGAAAACTTTTCTTCAGAGACATGACTATGCTTCTTCTCAGGTATGTTGTAATTAAACACCAATATTTAGGATAATCACTAGGCCACAAGGTTGATTTGAACTACAAGGTCAGCAGTTCAAACTCACCAGCTGCTCCTCAGAAACCCTATACAGGGTCACTGTGAGTTGTAACCATCCTGATGTCACTTAACAACAGCATTTAGAGTGGAAAGACCTGGGGTTTGGGAAACAGTAAGAATCTAATTTTATATACAAGTATATATTCTGGTATGCCAGTGTAGGATCATCAGTGGACTGCAAACCAAAAGATTGGCAGTTCAAACCCAACAGCTGCTCCTTGGAAACCCTATGCAGGGTTGCTATGAGTTAGGCCAGACTCCATGACACTTAAAACAGCAACAACATATATTCTGTGGTTTGGACTTCAAGTAAATTTTTTTAGTGCAATAGAGTTATAAACACATAGAAAATAAACTGTCTACAGATTTTCTGGTAGACGTTTTTAATAATTGAGTGTTTCTTGTCCAGTTCTAAGTGAAAGAGACTATTCATGTTTCCATCAAGTAAAATACACAGAATGTAATTTTCAATTAAAAAAATACTATTTCTTATGAAATATATTCAGACCCAAATGCCTCTTTTTCTTTGATAATGGTTTCTGGATACTTTTTTATGTTAAAGGAAACTGAATTTTTAGAAGTTGGTACATCTGATATTGCTTATGCTTACACAAACAAAGCTCAAGTGCTATCTGTTTTATTAGTTCTAATAAACTTTGAAAGTCTTCATGGAATCTGAGGCAAAACAATAAACCTTTAGCTGTCCGCATTGCTTGTTGTTAAAGCATCCTTCATTAGGTATAAAGTACATTTTCAGGGGAGCTTTCTTTGGGAGGGGTAATAAAATATTTTCCTTTTCTTATAACACTAAGAGCTTATATCTGTCCTTTAAACATCTTTTTGAATATCAATTTGGTTTTTCAGTAATCCTCATGGAAGGATCACCATAGATATTGCATGGTTACATGACTCTATTTTTAAACTTGTAGTTTAATGATACTTCTGCATACAGAAGTCCATCTTTAATAACCAATAGCTTGTGAAACAGCTTTTAATAAGGTCATGAGATTCTGATTGGCCCTTTGGCAAATGCCTCTCACTCTCATTCACAGCCATTTAAAAATAGATCTCTTTGGACCGAAAACTGTAGCCCTCAACATATTTTGAAAATTCTATATACACTTTTCCAGTGAATAGATAAATCAGGTATTTTCAAGATAAATAAATTTTAAAAGATGAAGGGAAGTGAGATCAAGAAAAACAAATAGTTAAATCACATCAACTTGAAAACAAAAAATTCCCCATGCTTATAATTACAGGGTGTCTACCAGATTAAAGGCCTCTGCCCGCTGACTGTATGTAATTTCAAAACTAATTCTGATTTTATCCATTGGATAAAAATGAATTAGATAAAATATGGGCTGTGGAGTGCTTTTAATTCTTAAGGTAGATCTCTGGGTCCATTTTCAAGGACTTAAATGTAAATTACTTTAAAACGTCTTTAAGGAATTTGGATTTGGAAGACTTAAAATAGTCAAGTACAGTAACACTAAAAAAAAGGTAGATAAATATGGGTCTTAGTTTGCTTACCTTATTTCCTAGAGATCCTTTTTGAAAAGATTTTCAAATGAGATAAAGATCCAATATTTGAGTTGTTCCAAAAAAAAAAAAGACTTGCCCTGAGCATATTTAAAGCCAAAAAGTTATATGCTAGATTTGCTTTTGAAAAAAACAGCCTGGTTTGCTAGATACATGTCAGAATTTTTTGTTTTGTTTTATTTCTAATAGTAGTAACATATCTATCCCCATCCCTCCTTTTTGAAATGTGCAAAAACTGTGCTCTTCTTATTTGAGCTTGTAACATCTGCTGTAGTTTTTGATGGAGCACCTCTGCCTCCTGCAATGGTAACTATTAGAATATCAGGAAGAAGGGAGTAAGTGGTCCCGGGCCTGCCTTCTGAATCTGTTGAATGTTTTCTCTTTAAGCTGATGAGTGCCATTCAAAAAGGAAGAGTCTCTGGGAGCCGACTTGCTATACTAATGAAAACTGCAGAAGAGAACCTTGATGGAAGAGTTCTGATCCCAGTGGACCGTAGTTGTGGCGGATTGTGAGTTTGAGCAGCGAATCCACAGTCAACAAATGTAGGAACAGCAAATCACCGTGTAACAACCAGAGATGACTTACACCACTACGAAACAGTGGATATGAATAGCTGCTTTTTTTTTTTTTTTAACATTGGAAAACATTCCAAAGCTTTAGAATGCTGGTGTATACCCTCTATTTGTATTTGCTATGCAGTCTGACATCTAGTGTATTTTATCTTTTTTCTCATTTTCACGGCACCTTGATTTCATGCTTTACATCTGTCTTGTGACCTGTTAAACGGGACATACTCCTATTATTTGTTTATTCACTTACTCTAAATCAGTTCTAGAGGCAGAATACTTTGGCAGTAATTGAGAGAAGCTGGAACGATTTTATGCATAAATTTCTAGACATTAAGCTTGTAGGTAGCATTTGTTTTTGAAAGAAGTGAGGTGGGGAGTGACCCCTATTGAAATGATATTGTTTCTGGATATTTCTCAACTCCTTCTTCCTCCAGTGTGTGTACCTTCCTCATCAAAACCTTATTGCATAAGTTTATATCTAGAGTCTGACTGGGAAAACTGGAAATGGAAGAAAAAGTTTAGATCTGGTTAAGGAGCACATCCCGAAGAGAAACTCTAAAAGCTTCCAGAATCACAGGTACAAGATAAAGATAGCATTGACATTTGTTTCATCGTTTCGTCTAGCATTTTCCCCGCCCCATCACTGCTGGTTTTCGTTGACTATTACTTTTGCTATAGGAACATCTTTGTTTTTCTTTAAAACCAGTATTCAACTGGCAGGTTGGATATAATGATATGAGATCAAATTTCTCAAATCTTTACACTGGTAGTAAATTTAAGGGTTAAAAAAGTGCTTACATATTCGCATGACAGTCCAACTTTCAATCCCCAAATCTTCCTTTTGGAGCATGTTCCACTTTATTGTCAAACATAATCTATCTTGATTAAATTATTGCATCATGTTTTAGGTATTTGCAGACAAATACAAATGTTGGTGGTTCCATTTCACTAGCCGCTCCTTGGAAACCACCCTATACAGATTTGCTATGGGTCAGAGCTAATCAGCGACACTTAGCAACCACAAGAAACCTAGTATTGTGTAGTCGATTAAAAGAAGTGAAGTGGGGCGTGACCGTTGAGTAGATTCCGACCTATAGCAACCCTGTAAAGCATTGATGAGGAGCAGCTGATAAGCTTGAACCACCAACGTTGCAGTTCAAACAGCTTTGCAGTCTGCCACATTAACCCACAGCACCACACAAGGACTCCTAAAACGTAGTATGTTGTTGTTATGTGCCATGTAGTTGGTTCCGACTCGTAGGGACCCCGTATCAGGTTTCAGAGGCTGTAACTCTTTACGGGAACAGAAAGCTTCATCTTTCTCCCACAGAATGGCTGATAGTTTCGAACAGCCGACCTTGAGGTTTGCAGCCCGATTCGTAACCACTACGCAAATCTAGTATAGGCAGGTAGAAATATATATATATTAGTTCACTTTATTTGTATTTATGTGCAAAAAGGCACAGCACTGCATTATTCAAGGTCATTTGGGTTGCTTAAAGTTTTGTCATCTTCTGTCCTTAATGGAAAAACTTCTCAGTCAATCACAAAACTAGAGCAGCACAACCCACAGAAACACACACATCCTCGCTCACATACACCCAGCAGTCTGCAGTGAATTTAATAAGTAATGCATTGAATTTAAAGCCAAATTTGGGGAGCTTTTGCTATATTTTGGTGGCATTTTAACTAGAGTCATCTGAATATTCATTGTGCTTCCTCTTGTGAAGTTAACTACCTACCACTTTGGTTTTCTTAAGATCAGGTTCCGTATATTATAGGAAATGTAACACTATTTCACAGCAGATTTTCATTGTGCAGGCTTGAGATCTTGTTTTTAAACTGGTACATAAAACACTTTTGTGCTGTTGTTTCTATTTATGTAAACATTGTAGACTATCTGTGTGCCTCTCTTAAGAGAGTTATGAGCCTGTTGGTCACAATAGAAACACTGGAGGTTCACTCATCTGAGCACCTACCCTCACCCCAAACTGAAACTAACAGAAACTGCAGGGAAAGACAGCATCTTAACTCATTTAACTATTAAGTGAAGTTTAGATACTTGCCAGGAGCAAATGATGCTCCCAGGTATCACTGTGAATCTTTTCTTTCAAGGTGTGAATTTTTCACACTGGTCTTTTTTTTGTTGTTAAAGGGAGACTTATGACATTGCAATTTAGTGTTTTCTATCAATACAATAAATTGCACTTAATAGAGTGAAGACCTGTTTTCTAAAATGTTATACCAGATGATATACCATAATGTTGTATATGTATTCTCTCTCTCTCTCTTTGTTGCTCTCCTTTTTCTCTCTCTCCTAGTTAGATCAAGATAAGGATGACTTGTAGCCTCCCTGAAACCATTACAGTAGGGACAGGGCTTAGAAATCCTGGCTGGCCTGGGCAAATCTGTGTTTGTAAAACAGACTTTGTTTGTGCACGCTTTGCTATGAGTGAAGTTCCTTTAAGGGCAAAGAAAAGCACATTTTTTTTTTTTCCTTCTTTTAAGCATATCTGCATTTGCCTAAAATCTGCTTAATTCTAAAGCATATGCTCATTCACCAATCCCAGATCCTGTCTTGGAAATGAACTGATTCCAAGTCTTTACTGTGTATAAAGCATCATGGCTTTTTAGTGTAAGTTCCTAATTAAACCTTTACAACATCTTTACCTGAATTCAAAGAAAAGAAATAGGTGTGTAAGCCCATTCAAAACCTATCCCAAGTGTAAAATAATGATTTTTTCCCCAATTCATATAAATATGATATTAGATGACTCTCTTGGGATATGGGGTGGTGTGTTCAGGGACTGTCCTTTGTCATCAAGTGATTTATTTCAAGAGCCTTTAAGGGGATTCAGGTGAAGGAACCCCCATCTGTGGTGGAGAGTTGAATACTCCTATAAATAGTCCCCACCACAGTCATAATAATAGTGATAATGCTGGATTATTTGGTAAGCCAAGGTTGTCTGCCTCATATCCATCATAATGTTTGCAATATTCTTACTTTCAATCAATTTATACTGAGTGTGACTTTAGGATTTTTACTATTAAATGCATGCTCCCTATTCTGCTTCAGTTTCTGGCTTTGTTTTTGTCTGTTTCATAATATGTAGCTTCCTCTTTTGTACAACAACAAAAATTTCATTCTGACTTTTTACTAAATAAGGGTGGTCATTGATTTTACTTCCCTCTTTTTTATGTATTTGTAACGATTTTTGGCATATGAATGTAATAATGTTGAAGTCAATGAAACTATAACTTGCACTGTTTCTCATTATATCAGTCCTTTTTAGGGAGTAGAAAAATAAAGCCCTAATGTGTTTTTAAAGATTATCAAATATAAGCCCAGTACTGGAGTGAATAGCCTGCATGTTTTAATATGTAGCACCTTTATGTTTTGTGTTGGGTTATTGTTCTATATTGGACTGTTAAATACTTTGTTTGAGACTGGGTTGTCATTTTTATAACTGTCTTGGTGTTTTATTGCCATTATTTATTACTTTTGATATACAGAATGAGCTGCATGCATTTATAGAGCAATAAGAGGATGTATTTAATGTGCCTTGTTTTTAACTGAATAAGAACTGAAAGCATGAATCAATAAAACTGATTAAAATGGTCCATTTGCTGGCATTTTGATGTTACTTGCAGTCAAAGAAATAACTTTGATTAGTGTCGAAATTTTCACAGAAGTTTGAGACTATTTAACAAACTCTAAGCTTAATAACACACATTAATTCGTTTAGTTTGGAATTTTGTCATTTAAAACTCAGAAGTGGAATCTCTGCTTACACAGATGTAATTTTCTAAGACTGCCAGAATTATTTGTATTAATTTGTTGCTGGACCCTTTAGGGCATGGCTTCTGTATTTGTGCAATCCTAGTCTAAAATTATATTCGTCCTATTACAACTGTGTTGAATTCTTTTTCCCTTTTTTTTTTTTTTTTTGGTCAACCAGAGCCTTTCAGCCCAAGCGTTCCCAGGCATACTGATGAATTTTATCATAACTAAAATCAATAGAAATGAATGGGAAAGATTACATAATCCATTTTGATCATCTTACATGTCAAGTTAGTGCAGGGTTGCCAAGTGTTGATAAATGCTCTGACAGGAAAAATGCTATATATTTTCATTGTCAGTAAATCAGTGAAGCTGTTATCAGTTTTAACACAAATTTTCTAATGTCCATGTTATTTTATAGGTTTTAATTTGCACACATACACGTGGCATATTTTCCATTTGTGGGTGAGATGTGCTGCCTTCTGGTTGTGTGTGTGCTCAAAGATGTACGTGAGCTTCTGAAGGTGCTTTGAAACTATAGAATAGCCCAAAGTGATGACTCCTAGATGGATCTGGAACAATGAACTGTTTGCTTAATGCACGGGGAAAATAAATAGCAGCTCAAAACAGATTTCATGGGTCTAGCTTATCAAATTGTACAGCACTTAAACATTTTTCAACATAAAATTTGTCAAAATGCATTGCTCCTACTTTGCAAAATGTAAAAAAAATTATGGTAATCAAAGAAAGGAAGTGATAGTGACATCAATATTTTGCAGTCAGTGTCAGCACTATTGTCAGATGTTACCCAATGACATTGACTTATGGAGGCAGGAAACAACCGAAGTTTTAAATTGATATGACATCCTCCTAATGAGAGAATTTCTATATAGGGGGCGGAGATGATGAGCCTTTCGTGCTTGTACTTTATATCTTAGGTCTCTAATTAGCTACCTACCTTGTGAGATAAATGCGCATGATATGACTGAATATGAGGCGGGATGATTCCAAAGATAGTCTTGCAGGTTCTGGGTTTAAGAAGGTTGTGGACCCTTACCCCAAATCAATAAACAACTTTTATTTTGTTAAAGACTTGACCTTCGAAAATAGGTTTTCATTTGATCTAAGCAAAATACTGTTCACAACATCATCAGAACCACCTTCATTCTCCATGGCATTAAATTGCATTGCGGAGCAAACTCTGCCCACCGCTCCATGTTAGAGCTTCCTGTTTTTACATCCGGGTTGTGAGAAAAAGGGTAAGATGTGTTTCCTATAGTTGTAGGCAATATGTCATGCTTCAGAGAAAAATAGAATAGAATTGAATCTTAGTACTTTCCGTGCATAGTTGTTGTTAAGCGCGGTCGAGTCGATTCCGAACCATAGCAACCCTGTATAGGTTTTCTGAGGAGCAGCTGGTGAGTTTGAACCACTGACCTTGCATTTCAAATGGCTTTGCAGTCTGGCACCTTAACCCACAGCGCCACACCAGGACTCCTTGG